TATGACTTTGCCTGTAAAGATGCTTAGTTTTAAAATGCTTTTCCTTAACTACTAAAGCATTTTATTTCTTTTTTTAAGTCAGTGGGTTTTTTTTTCCYTTTACCTTTTTGATGATGGGAAGAAACTCAAGTTTTATGATGGCAATAAACCAGTTTACAATTTATCCTCATGCATCTTAAGCAAGAGGGAAAGGAAAGTTCCACTTCTTTGCATAGGTAACTTGGTAGCATAAAGTTTTATTTCAATATTACTTTGGTTTTTCTTGAGGTAGATGTGCTACAGGAAATATATGTTCACACTCTGTAACTGGTAACCGTTTCTTATAGCAAATGCATCCTTAGTGTTCCTTATAGCACCCTATGCTTCACGCGCCAGAGATGGGGAGTTCTGACCATGTGTTAATACACTTTAGCACCACRTGTATTGCATAAAGGTATGAAGGGGTTCATGTGTGAACTTGTGAAAATGCCCAGACTTTTCTGGCAAACACAGTATTAAAACCATTTTGCTGCCAGTATCTCCTTTTATTATAGGAAATGGAAGTGTGAAAGGTGGCAAGTAATTTATACTCATATTTGGCATGACAAGAAAGGACGTACAGTGGAATAACAAAGGGTAATAAAAATAGAGGAACACATTGCAGCACGTGCAGTGCAACGCAGTCTCGCTGCAAGAACGGAGGATGTCTTTTGAAGCTGGACAGGAGCATCCTGCTGTCTTGTGAAGCCAAACAGTAAGGGGTAACAACACGTGCATTTACCACCTCACAGTGTTCTTGCTTCCCCGCTTTATTTGAATGCAAACAGAGATGCCCTCATTTGCAATCTGGCATTCAGTGATACAACGCTAACATTGTTTGGCCCAGATCCTGTATTCCAGCTCCGGTTCTGCAYGTTCTACTGCTTATTCCTCTTTCTTACCACCAGTTTATTGCAGAACCACTATTTTTCAGGGTCAATTTAAATGTTTTTCTCAGCCTTGCAATTAAATGTTCAATTCAGACCTTTTTAGTTTGTTCAGCTATCGAGTCTAGGGTCTTGCTAGCTTTATCTTCAGCATCTAATCTCTATTCCTTGATGCCTGCGCGCTCCTTGACTCCAGGTCTGTTTATTTYCTGAAAGGATGACCAAGCCCTCGGGTTAATTGACCGGGGGCTCTCCGGGGCGAAGCAGCTTTGTGTCTGTTGGGGAACTGCTGCGATAAGTTTATGTCCCTCTATTATAGCACGGGCCCGTCTCGGGAAAGCAGCTTGTTCCATTTGCTGTGGCCCGGAGATAAGGGGGACCCGCCGCGTGGCACCAGCGTTTTGGGCGATGTTGACGTGACTCAAGTTTGTCAGGAAACATTAGGCACCCCCTGCCTCCAACTGTCAGGTTAGGGGAAGTGTGGCCAAAGCGATTGCTGAAAATAGCCCYGTTAAGAAGCTTTAAGAAACCTCCTTAATTTAGCTCTAAAACGGCAGCTGCAAACCTTGCCTGTTTGTTTTTGTTAGGGCATCCAGCAAGTAAATAAAAGTGCAGGGAGAAAATAGAATTGGACTTTGAACTGGCCCATTCCCTCTTTGCTTTGAAATATTTCTGCTTTCCTGCAGGTCTGCGTAGGGCACCAGGCTGCTTGGGTTTATCTGACACGCTGCAAAAAGAAAACATGAAAACCTTGAGGCCTGCAGCACCAAAGGCTGTTCCTCCATTTTTGATACCTGGTATTTTTTTTCTACCATCAAAGTAGTTTAATCTTCTCGTATTGTGAATAATTTCCCTAATCTCTAAAGCGAGCTAGATTTTTTTTCTCCAAAAAGGTATGGACTATCCATAAGGGCTTTAGCAAGTCTAGGCTCAGCCTCCTCAAACAGCTTTTTCGTGTTGCTCAGTTTTTTTTTTGCTTTGTTGGTTTTTTTGGATACCTTTCAGGTTTCCCAGAMCTGGAACCCAGCAAGGCGACTGAAGCAGTTTATGGGTGGTTTTATTACTAGCACATTTTATCCTGCAGGAACTTGTACATACAAGTTAATGATTAARGCTGAGGAATGAGTGTCCTCTAGATTGCCTTGATATATATTATATTTTCCGGGTAATGCAGCCTATCACCTTCTCATCTTGCTTTACAACACTACTGCTGCGTTGCCTTTTGGTTAGTCTTTTCTGTTTATCACCGTGCTGCATTTTAAGGGCTGCCCAGCACTTCTRTGCAGTTCTGTAGCAGTTCACTTGTGTTGCGTTTATGCCCTGAGTTTTCTTCCTGTTTCCTCCTCCCTTTGCTCCCCTATTTTGCCAGTGTGCAGCTGCGCAGTCGCTTCAGCTCAGCCTGGGCTTGTTCCGCTGCCGAAGGGGCAGCGCAGACCCCCCTGCCCTCTCCGTGGTGCTTGCGGCGCTCCCGAGGCCGCTCACAATAGAGGAAGAAAGTTGATCTGCTGGGAACTGGGACAGGAACCTTTTTATCTTTCTCTCACCTCTCTTATATTTATTTATTTATTTATTTGTTATTTATTTTCCTTGCTGTGCCATTTTTGCCAAGCCAGTTTCCTCATGCAGCTGGGGGCATCAGGAGCAGGTGGCAGACGGCAGGAGAAGGGCAGAGGCCGGGATGACCGCTGCATTTAGTGGCTGTGTAGATTCATTCTGTTTTCCCACGATGGTAAAAGTTGCAGCCTAAACGAAGAGAGGAAGCGCGAGCCGGGTCTCCCCTTCACCCGGCTTTTCTTCCAAGCCTTGTTCCCTTTTGCGGTCTGGCTTCGAGGACTTGCCCATCCGGATTCCCCTTGTCACGGGTTTCTAAGGAGGGATGTGACCGTTGGGCAGCCGAATCCTGCAATAAAATTTYGCCGAGTAGCAGCAGCTCTAGGCCTGTGCCCCGCTGCTGCAGAGCTGCTCTCTTGCAAAGCCGCCCAACAGTGACTTTGATGAGGACAGGGACAGAGTGCCCTGCGGTTAATGCGTTGCTGCTGTTTGGAACCTGCACCTTGTTTTTAGTAGCAGTTTTAGTGATTTGTTTCTTGCCAACAGACCTTAAATCTCCATCTCCTGACTCAACTGAACATGCAGAAAACAGCTGCCTGCACCAAGTCTGCAAGCAAAGAGGAAGCAATTTGCATTTACTCAGGTGTTCTGTACTGCTTTCTTCTTGCACGTCTTGGGCATCCGGAGCTTTTCTTGCAAAGTGTTTTAAATATTCCATCTGTTTGGGTGAGATCACAAGAACAGATATTTTTTTAAAGTGTTTTTTTGAAGACTTTTTTTTTCCAGGCAATTATTTTTCTCCCCCTCCTTCCCCTTAGGCACCAGATGAGCTTTGATTGACTTACAAGATCAYGTTAGCGCTGAAATCAAGATATAGGAGGACCCCTGAAGCTCTTTCCTGTGCGTTTCGTAGCCACGAGCTTGACGTGGCGAGGAGACAAACTGCAAAGCAAGAGCGTGTGAAGGAAATGGTCGCTATTAAAATCTTCTCTGCTTTATTCTAGCAGCCCCAACCTCCTGGGCCAAACCCCTTTGCGTTATGGTCTTAGTGCCTGGTTAGTGTGTAGCTATTGCTGCTTCCTCCCTTCTTCCTTTCTTCGTTCTTCTCTCCTTTTCTGCCTGTTGCCTTTGGAGGGAGCAGAGGGAGTTTCCAGGGATTACAGCTGCAGGGTTGGGTGCCCCTTACCCTGTTGGCTGCAGGGTTGGGTGCCCCTTACCCTGTTGGCTGCAGGGTTGGGTGCCCCTTACCCTGTTGGCTGCAGGGTTGGGTGCCCCTTACCCTGTTGGCTGCAGGGTTGGGTGCCCCTTACCCTGTTGGCTGCAGGGTTGGGTGCCCCTTACCCTGTTGGCTTGTGTGGAGAGGTGATTTTGCATCCCGTGTGCATGTGCCCTTTGCTTTCTCATGCCCTTGGAGATGTCCTACCTGGGAATGAGATGCAGCCCCATGATTATCACCCATTCCAATTGCTCCACTGCTCAAAGAGAAATATATTTTGGCTAGGCTGGAGGAAGATATAGAGAARAACTGGAGGTGCTGCACAGTGATAGAATATTAAACCCACTTATGTTTTTTTTAGGTTATTTAGTGGGAAAAAAAGATGGTTATTGCTGATGCCTGTGCTTAATATCAAGAGGATCTTTACAGCAGCAAAGCATGGAGCCAAGTAACTGATTTTGAGTATTTTAGGGAGAACGTCAATTAGAGCTAGTGCATATACCATAAATATTTGCAAGTTCCCAAAGGATTATTTTTGGCACAGTATTGCCATGTAAGAAGGTATTACGTTGCTTCCTATTAGACACCAAGAAATTCATCTAAATTCTATAATTACGTTTCTGGAGTCAATTTTTAAAGCCTTGTTCTTCCTTCTTGCTAGCAAGGACTTTTGCGCGGTCTTTAAAACAACACCTTAACTTGAGTCTTTTAGGTAAACTTTTCCTTCCTGCCCTTCTACAAAACATAGTGGCTCTGCTGGGACCAGAAGTGGTTTCTCTTGCTGCTCGCTAGATACCGAATTGCATCATCTTCAGCAATGCAGAGAGACTGCAGTTCACATTACCCAAAAGCTCTTGAAAGATTCATGTTCCCTTTGTATGTTTAATGCTTCTCAGAAAGAAGATTCATTAAAAAAAAAAAAGGGGGGGGGGATAAAAAGTGGGAAGTTAAAACATTTGAAAATCAAACTTGATTTTTTTTTTTTCCCCGCCTGGTGGACAAGGTTAAAACTGAATTATTTTTGCGACTGATATTGGTCATTTAAAAGAACAGTTCCAACTGGTCCTTTTGACAATGTGGATTGTTACCACGTTTTGAAATTCGAGAAAACAAACAAAAAATACTCTGGCATGGCTCTTTTAACCAAGAAACTAAAACATATTTTGCTTTCTAAGTTACCAATGCCTCTATTTTCCCAAGTGGTGTTGAATTTTCATACTGTGCATGATAGAGGAGTGCTGCTGAGCTTGCAAATAATTGACTTGAAATTGCTTTGAGTAATTCTGGCTTTTCTTTTGGCTTTTTTTCTTTGTTTTGTACCTAATCAGAATTGATGTGACTGAAGTGCAAATCTTCATAATAATCATGCATTTACTGGCAGTGATCGGAGGACCACCTTTTTGGCAATCTCTGGTAATTTTGCTGTGTATTCTAATTAATGTGCATTTCTATTGAGCAGTATAAAATCCGAATGATCTAGGAGAAAGCTGGAAGAAGCCCCTGTCTAGAAATACCTTAAGAATGGGTTAAATGGCATTGAATTTGCATTCTGGTTTTACCAGAATTATTTAAAGAAGCCCTTATTTTTGATTGCTTTGCAGGTAGAAAGATACCAAATATTGCCCTAATTTAAGCACGTTTTGGGTATTTATTTCATCCTTTGAAATAATCCTTTGAGTGATCTAACCAAAGCYTGAGCCAACAGCAAGCTTGATCACCAGCAAAGTAATACTGAATTGGGTTGAAGCTATGGAGGGAATATTTGGAGAKCAGTTGATAACCCTCAGTAACTAATTTAGGCCAAATGTAGAAAAATTGCTACTTTATACATTTTTTTAATTATAAATAAATTTTAAATTATGGCAATCCTAATCACAGACACTGTAAGGTGATTATGTTGTAGATCCTGCAGTGTTTAATGAGGCTCACTGGTCCCTGGCAGTTGAGATGTGGGATATTTTATATTTAATAAGTTTAGTTTTATATTAGTGTTACTGAAGCCCCCTGTGGCTATTGAAGCAGCGTTGCCCAGCGAAGCAGAGTTGCAGTAAATTGAGTGRACTGCAGAAATAGGGATTTCATGGAAGGTTTTCCTTCCGGAGTGCTCCTCGTGCATTCGATGAAAGCATTTTCAAAGTGCAGAGGGAAATCTTGGTCTATAAGGAAACCAAGAGATAGTCAAAAATTGCTGAAATGCTCTAACCCCAAATCACTTAATTTCTAATCTCTGCCATAAAAGTAGCTAAATTAACTGTGTGATGTTAGAGGATTTGTGTTGGTTGCCCCAGTTTTGCTAGATGCCCTTCCAGGCTTAAAAAAAGAGACAAAAAAAGACACCCCAAGCTATTGCATTACTGGCAAAGTCGATAGCACCTGCAGTTTATGAGTGTGGCCAGAATTATATCTAAAAAATGACCCCACAAGCCAATTTACTGGTGCCGGGCTTCCTCGAAGCMGTGAGGATGGCAATGCATTAGAAACAGGGATTCCCCAATCCGTGTTTCGGTTCCCTTTATTTTCCTGTTAAAGAGAGAAAATAATTGCTGCACCAGAAGCTCCRGGCGTGATTTGGTGCAAGATAATGTTTGCATGAGAGATCTTAATCTGGATTATTTAAWAACTTCACTCTTTTTAGCTCCATACTGCTTCAACAGAGAACGTTTATTAAACTTCAGACTCAGACAAATCCTGTAAAACTAAAATATWTGGAAACCCAGTTGGATTTAGAGATGCATTTCCTCCAGAGAGCAAACTCGTTGTGAATTTTTGCTTGCTGTTAAATATTGTGTCCTGCTTGCAGAGCAGAGTCTATCATAGAGGAAAAATTATTTAACATGCCTTGTGACAGCAAAATTGGTGTTTTGGTCGGTTTTTATAAGGAAAAAGAATGAAACACGTGGTTGTGTGCTCAAACATTCCACTTTCTTATGCTAACGTGCGAAAAGCAGAACAATCAGAGTTTAGGGATTGCAGAACTGTGTGTTTTTGTCAATTCTTGCTTTCATTAGCTTTCTCCTTTCCCCCACAAAGTGATAGATCTGTCCYGACATCCTCCTATCTGTCAACGTAGGGTCTCCTAAAAGCATTTTAAAATGCCATTCTGCAGGGCTCCAGGCATCCAGTGGCTTCTGATGGATAGTGAGTGCTCCAGCAGAGATCCTCATTGGGAAATGTGAATCAGATGAGCAAGCTTACGTGCAGCTTAATGCATTTATTAATATGTTTGAGGTGAGAAGGGCTACAGTTGCTTCTATTTTATCCCCAGAGGGGGATTTTTAAAAGAATAAAGATTATAAAGCAGCTTAGTTTTGACCTGTAGCAGTTGTTATTCTTGTTGGAGGTGATGGTGGAAGTGCTCCACACTGCAGCTGGGATCCAGCCTTGTCTGAAGGGCCGTCAGGATGCCGTTTCTTGCCCAGATGGTTGAACTTTGTCTAGCTGTGAGTTAACCTGGAAGAGCTGCTGGAGGAGGAGCCCCCATATCTGCTTCCAGAGGCTCTTTTGCTCTTTGGTGTTGCTTGTTGAGTCCTCACTCGTGCTCTTTTTCCATCGGTTTCCCAGTCCATTACTACCTAGCAGTATCTAGTAGGGATCTGGGGAGCTCGCATTGCTTTTTTTGGTGAATGATTGAGGATTTGCTTTAATGTATTCCTGGCAAACATCACTTAGTTTATTCTTTACCTGCTGCTCTGTCTCTTTCACAGGCGGAACAATTTAGCAGCCACTGCCCTTTTATCCTTCTCTGACTTCATCTAATTCTCTTCCTTTAATCAACATGACTCTTGGAGCCCATTTCATGGTGTTAGGTTTTTTTGACTTTTTGTGACTTTTAAATTCAAAGCTTTTTCAAAGGAAAAAAATCTTATTTGATTCCCATAGGTGCAAAGAGCTGCCCTTGTCTCCCTCTTCCTGCAGAAGTGCAAATTCACCCCGTTCCTTAAATACCAAGTTATTTTTAGTGAATCAGTTGACCGCACACGTTGCCTTTGCTTATAAGACCGAGATGAGACCTTCAGGAGTCCTGCTCCTGGAAGTATTAAGGCATATTTAGATCTCAGCCAAACGCCACAATCTCTTCCTCTTGCTTCCTTGTCATAATTTTCCCTTTAGCATCTTTCTGCAAACATTTTCTTCAACTACAAGTGCAGCCCGGGCACGGGAGGTGTATGCTGGAGTGGCACAGAGCTGTGCCACCTGGGGACCCCTCTGCGGGGTCACAGGACAGCGATTTGGAGAGGTGCCCTGCTCCTCTGCAGGCTCTGGAAGAGCAAAGCATGGCGAGATGGAGCTTGCTCTGCCTCCTAGCCGTCAGGTACAGTCCCCAAAACACCCAGACCTTGTTAAGCCATTAAACATAATAGAAAGCCAAGAATCCGTATCCACTAAAAGCTCTGCTGAGAGCCTGATTGAAGATACTGAAATAGAAACAACTTCACCTCATCTGAGCTTCTCACTGTAGCTGCCCTCTTTGCCCTTTGGGAGCCAAGTGTATTTATCCAGTTGGGAGCGGTATGGCTGCAAATATTGAATTAAGTGACCAAGAAGACTTAGTAGTTGTGTAAATAAGGCTAGAAGGGTGTGTTTTTGTTTTATTTTTGGTTTTTTTTAGGGAAATTTTCTCTCAACACCTGCTTCCATAACACGTTTGCTGTGGTTTGTTGTGAGCTTTTTCTTCACTTCTCATTTCCTCTGTTCTGCTCAAAACACTGCTCTTAAATGGGGATGGCCACTGCGGTGTCTGGCAACACCGTCTCTTGCTGTCTTAAACTGAGTGACTCCCTGAGGTGCCCCATGTGAATTCTGTCTGCTTTCCCTGTACGGCCCATGGGGTAAAATCCAATTTTATAGGATTTTTGTGTAATTACCTTCAATAGCTCTTCGCCCAGGTTGGTTTTGAGCTGCCGCTGTAAATGTTTATGACCAGCTCAGGAAAAGGTCGCTAATAAACTTCTTTCCTGCCTGGTAGGTGAAAGACTTAGGTAGTGAGGTCTGCTTATTTCTCTGCTTTTGATAGTTCTTTTTGAGTAATGAAAGAAAAGTCCCACAGAGCAGGGAAGTTTGGTGGAGGAATTATCGGGAAAAACACATGATTCTCTGATACACTTGCTAGAAACTTAAATCTCTGCATACCAGTGAGAGAAAAGCAAATATGTTGTTGGAAAGTGGAGTGTTTGAGTGCACCAGCAGTGTGTAAACCCAGTTTTGGTTTGCTTGTGTGTATTTTAACTTCTCATCTCTCTACTGTTAAGATTCCAGTGCTGAATATTCAGATGAAAATATTTCCAGCTCTCTGTACTGTTGCTGGAACCATTTTCTCCTGTACGAACTACTTTGGTGTAATCTTCACAGGCGGAGTCGGCAAAAACGGATCCACTATAGCAGTGAGTACTTGGTCCTGCTGCTTTTACTTCCTCCCCAGCACCCCATGACTTTCCAGATGTGCCTTTTTGAGCCTGGGACTTAGGTTAGTTCATAACACCAGGCCTRGAGTAGGATGCCAGCACCAGCAAGGCTCAGCCGCATGATCACGCGCTCGTTCAGGTTTCACCACACTTTGTTCCTGCTGGGGACATGTTTTTAATGTGACGTTAATTAAAAACCACGTGTCTTCTCGCTACACAAATGCATGGTTTACTGAGGTTGTTTTTGCAATGTATRTGTTTTGTTAATTTAATGCTTTGTCTTGCTGTAGGGAACGAGTGTCCTCTCGCCTTTTCTTCATATTGGGTCTGTGATCACATTAGCTGCAATGATCTACAAGAAATCTGCAGTGCAGCTCTTTGAAAAGCATCCCTGCTTGTATATACTTACTTTTGGTTTTGTATCTGCTAAGATAACAAATAAGCTAGTGGTAAGTGCCTCTGAATCACCAAGTCTCTCTTTTTTTTGCAGTGCTGTGGGGTTTTTGTTTTTTTTTTATCTCTCTGCATCAACTTTATTCTGGTGTGTGTACTACAATGATACGATATTTGCACTTTGCTTATTAAAGAAGTTGCTCTATTCCCTGCACTTCACCTTGCTTTGTATTGGAATCTGGAGTAGTAAACGTGACGCTCAGGCTGTGGTTACGTAGTTAGTGCTGGTACAGTTGACGCTTCCCCAAGGTCTGTTCCTCTTCCCCGGCTGCTCATTCACATTTCTGCAATGTGTTTGGGCACATGTGTTTGGATGATGAACTGGGCTGGGAACAGAGCTCCTTGAAACTCTCCCCACGTGCAGGTGTGGAAAGGAGGGGAGTCTGCTGCGGAAGGAGCAGAGATAAAACAGCTGAAGCCAGGCTTCTGACACAAATTGTTTGTCAAATCTGGGGTAGTTGCTCAGGATTTACCTTAATTTTGATTACCATTTTTTTCTCTCCAGGTGTTTAAGTAGTTTACACTAGGGAACCAGGTTGAATGCAGAGTTGCTGCCCCATACCACCGCCTTAGCTCTGAGGGCTTACGTTGTATTGTTGTGTGAGCTGGATCCGTGTTGGACTTGCCCCACATAGAAGGAAAAGGTTATTTTGAAGCACAASCCATTCCCCATGCAGTTGCATAAAAAGCCTGCTGGTAAAAGTGAGGGTGTGGTGCAGGACGGCTTCTCTGCAGCACAGGGCAAGGCAGGAAGACAGTACTCGGGCATGAAAAAACATGATAAGTAAATGTTTCTTGAATGAAAACGTCTCCAGTCTGTGCCTTCTGAAACCTCTCTACGTTTGCTAGCCTTACGCTTATTGCTTTTTTCTTTCTGCAGGTTGCACACATGACCAAGAGTGAAATGCACCTGCATGACACAGCGTTCATAGGCCCAGCGCTCCTGTTTCTGGACCAGTATTTCAACAGCTTTATCGATGAGTATATTGTACTTTGGATTGCCCTGGTAAGTGCAGGTTCCTTTCCTCTTTGCCAGCACTCAAGTGTTGTGCTTTCACAAACAGTTTGCCCTGGCTGAGGCTGGCTGACTTCCCTAGAGGGCAATGGGCTGGGAATGGGTTTTCTTGAGCCAGTCTTAACTAGGACTCGTGCAAAGCGAGGTCAGCAGGGTTTGCTCAATGGTGTGGGCTCTGTGCATAGTGTAAACGCACTTTAAGCCATGTAGTAAATCTTCAAAACTTGGAGTACTGTGAAGATCTGTATCGATGCCTTTTTTAGCAAGAGAATACAGTACATGTGAAATGTATATCTATGCCTTAATGTCCTGAAGACATACACATCTATCACTGCTAGCTGCAAACCTTAAGAAAAATCTTTTTAAGGTAAACACTTGTGCTTGCAGAGCACTGAAGCTTATTCTGCTAAGATAGCTTAAAGCTTTTGATAGATAAAACTGATATACGGCATATTTTTATCACTTCACATCAATGATCACTTAACAACAGTGTTAGTGGAACATTTCATCGTGCCTGTATAGCAATTACTTTTTTACCTCCCTTTCTGCCTTCAGAATTATAATCTATATGTTTTTACAAAGCTGGAAGAAAATGTAGCTCAGACTTGAAGATGTAGTTCTAGAAAAGCAGATGCTGAGTGATTTTACTCTGAAGAATGGGGACCATGTGATACTACAGTGTCACGGAGACATAGATGTAAATGCATGTCACTTTTTTTTTTCCTTGACAGATCTTTTCTCTTTTTGATTTGCTTCGATACTGTGTCAGTGTGTGCAATCAGATCGCTGCCCATCTGCACATCCACGTATTCCGAATCAAGTCCTCCTCCGCACATTCGAATCACCATTAGGAAATGGGGGTCACCGTAAGGAGAAATAAGAAAGAGCTGATTTGCTACGTGCCGAAGATATACAGGAGACTAAGGCAAAACCAGATAAGAACAAATTAATTTATGATAATCAATGTTGTATAACTCTTACTCTTTGTTATCGGTAACACTCCTTAACTAGTCTCCTGCCTGAGAGAGTGAATTCTGAGTACACCCTAGTCAACTCTACATGTAGTCAACTCTGTTGGTTCAATGCCCAGGAAAGCATGCAGGGAGTAATGCTCTGTCTTTGTAACTACCTTGATTACCAAATAATCTATATATGGTGAATGGATCCCCAAACAACTCAAGTTTCTAATGTAGTATAATTACAAGCTGCAATACAACTTGCTTTTAATTTTAATATTTCATCATCTCTTAGTGAAATACTTGTTTAGTGTCCACTTGAAATTTATTTACTAAAGACCTGAGCTGGTAAAAACAGAGATATCGCACTAGCTTGTGTAGCTGACAAGATTTGAGTCCAGATGGATGTGGTTCATTTGCTTTCGCGTCGCTGAGAAAAGTGGTTTGCTGCTAAAGAACAAAACATGGAGCAGGGGTTCTGCAGGTGGAAGGGATGACCGGCATGCAAAATAGTGTGGTATCTTTGTGAATTAATTTTATTTTTTTAAATAAACATTATCTAAAAGACAACYTATTTCTCAATTTTCTTCAGTGGAAAGACTTTAAAAAGAATTTTACTGTTTACTTTTTTATGTATAAAACTTAAGCAAAATTTCCTTTCTGCTCTTAATAAATAAGACTTCTGAGAGCAACAATCGTCTTTATATGTGTCTGTTGCTCTATCCTGCTGGGTCAAGTACCAACATTTATAAAATGCAATCCTGTCTGCTCTTTAGAAAGCAATTTTCTAACATTTGACTTGTGTGTAGTACTGTCATTGCAGGGCCTCTAAGAGCTGTCTCCGCTGCACAGCACAGTAAGTTTTTATGCCATTTTTAAGTGTGATAGACTGAGCCAATGTGTTTAAGTTAAATTTAATTAAGTTAAATTTAATAGAAATTTTAGGAAGTGCTGCAGCATGTGCCTCAACGGCTGAAATCGTAGCCTTATAACCCCCGAGCATCTCAGGAGGGTAGGGAGATGGTCCCTGGGGTAGGACTGAGGAGTAGGGAGAGGTCTCCTGGGACCCCAGAGCTGCAGCAGTCCTGAGGACCATTCTGTCTGTGTCTCCTTCCAAGGCACTGAGCATGCCTCACTTTAAGAATGATAGAAATACAAGAACAATAAATCAAAACAGCGCTTGACTACAGGAAGTGGTGACATGTATTTCCTGTAGTGCCCGAGTGTTTAGAAAACATGCTCAGGAAGTGCAAGAGAAAATTCAGTTCCTTCCTTAATCTTGAGAGCTTCTAAACACCTTTGTCCATCTCCCTGGGACGGTACCTTGTGCCAGGGCTATTGTGTTTTCTGTRTGCTCTGCCCATGGAGAGAGCACAAAAGGAATGTGGTTTTGCTTTTGGTCTTGTAGGTTCTGCAGCCCCAGGAGTCTTGGGTGATGCTGTTTCAACAGAAGTGAGTTGAAGAGCCTCTCTTACGAGAGCACACTTGGGAAATGGGGCGCTAGGGAAAGAGGAAGCTCCTGCAGGATGAGGAGAGAATCTAAAGAAGGTTTCTGTGCCTTCCTGGAGGCACATGGATGAGTCCTAGAGCTCCTGACCTCTAATGAGCTTGTACACAGATATTTTATGGTGAGGACTCTTTTGAAGACCTGGTGGATCCGTAGTGGAGATACCCAAAGGGCTCYTGCCAGGTGGAAACCTTTGGGAGAGTTTGGTTTCTGTCCCCTGGCYGGGACTGCGGCACTGTTCTTCAGCGTCCTAGAAATGTCCGGGTCCAAGTGCCTCTAAAATARGAACACCTCCAGCATGAGGTAGTAACTAATTCTTCAACATCWTTTTTTTACCTAAGTAGAGTTTAGTTGACCATATTTAGTCTTAAACAGCTCTGTTTAGCTACGTGAAGGGTTAATTTGGGTGCTCCAACCTGTATTGCTGCCCTGCAAGGCAAAGTGCAAGACTGGAATAAATTTAGGACTTGTCTTTCATGATCCGCTTGTTTCTATTCAAAATCCAGGCGCTGAGAAAGTTCATCTCTACAGTGTAAATGGCTGTCCAAGATGCCATTTCTGTCCCAGTTAAAGTACTGGTGTTATCAGGACATAATCCCCTGCTTTGAAAAGTTRCTGGCTGTCATCCAAGCCATGCAAAGTGGCACTATGGTTGTAAGTATTGTATAAATGCCTATAACAAAGCAATGGAATAAATTAACTTTACTCCTGGTGCTTGCACATTACAATGCTGTTTTGTTTGTAGGTTATCTGAGATTCGAGCGTAGACCAAAGGCTGGGAGAGGGAACAGAATTGCTGAGTAAATCGTGCTTTTTTGTGTGCTCAGCCTGATCTTGTGAGACGCTTTTTTAAACTTTTTGTTGCCTTTGGCAGGCGTAGCTTTTGCAGTTGTGATTTGTTGGAACTTAATGGAATACGTAAGTATTAACTTTAAAAAAAACCCTACAAACAACAATTTGGTCAATTTGAGCAAGTCTCATCATGCCCTAATACCACCCCAGCAAGGTGAAAGTTTCTATAKGGTGGTAGAATATTGCCTCTTTTTTCAATAATTGATAAAGACGTTCTTCTTGCTTAGGCAAGGAACATATAGGAGAGAAGCAGCAAGCCCTCCAAAGGGTCCTGTTTTTCTTTAATCCGAGTGTCTCAAACTTTATTTCATACAACTGTTTTTCCTCTTCGTGCCCTCCTACCCTGCTTGTGCCAGGTATGTCCTGCTGTGCCCAGTGTTTGACTGGGGAACAGAGCTGCAGAGTTCAATCYAGAGAGCAGGAGCTGAAGACTGCAGCAAATTCCAGAGGTTACAGYCAGGTGGAGAAACCATCTGAGGTAGGAGCTGTGTGTGCGATTGCACTGGAGCAATCTGAAAGCACTTAGCAGGAACGCCTGCATTGACCTTGGTACATTAAACACGCTGGGGACAATTTGCTGGCGCCGAGGCCAGCTGGCACRCACAGCACTGTGAAACTTATCTCCCAAACAAGGCAGCTGCAGAGCAGGGACCAGGCTGCGAATCAGAAATGATTCCTGAGCTGACTCCTAAGCTCCGCCTGGGAATTGTTTGTACGAGTGTTAGTTGGCTAATACTCTGCTGGGAAGTATGCTAGCAATTTAGCAGAATAAATGAGTGCTTTCCAGTTCCGGGAAACATTCCCTGGTGCTGTTTTATTTACTCTTCCAGACTYGGAGCGAGTGCTAGGCAGATCCTGAGCAGGGGGAATTTGGAAGAAGGATTTAGAGAGATGCTGGGAGATTTGCTGGCGCCCCRCAATGTGACCTGAGCCTAGCTGGATGTGACGCTGCTGCTAACGCAAGGCAGCTGAGCGTCTACAACAGCAAACAACRTGCTCGGCCACAAGTAGCTGGTTTAAGAGAAGCAAACTGAGCTCGGAGAAGAAATGAATAGGGTAATTTTTCTTCAGCGTCTGCCCTGACTTTCAGAAGTGTCCTCTTCCTTCACCAGTGTGGATCGGTCACTGGGCTGCGCGTGTTTTTTTGCAATATCCAGGCTGTCCACCCGCAGCCAGGAAGCTGAGGGCGTTAAAAGCTCTCTCCGGATGGCACCAGGCCGCTGAGTAAGCTAATGTGGCAAGAGCAGGGTGCTTTCCAGTGTCAGGCCAGCCCAACTCCAGATGCCTTTGAAAAATGCTGCTCCAGAGCAGTATCAGTCCCGCAGAGCTTAGGAAACAAGGAGCAAAGCTCTTCATAAAGCTCTAGGAAAGCTCTCTCTTGCTCCTGCAAAGCTTGAGCAGCCACAGATGATAAAACCCAGTCCCTTATGTGACTTACAATTTGCTGTTACTAAGGAGCTACCTTTAAAGCCACGGACAAGCGGCTTGACAGTGGACAAGTGGGAGAGAGGTCACGAGCAGTCTTTTCCAAAGGGAAAACCCTTGGCTCCCTTTGCTGCTTTTTGCTGGTAGGTAGACTTTTTTTTTTTTTTTAATGAAAAAAAAAACACAGAAAACAAAATCAACTAATCTTTAATTTCCCTGTAAACTACCCCTAGCCTTCTCTCTACCCAGAAGGGGAAACTTGTGGAACCAGGAAAGATATTTACAGTGCCTAAACCCTCTATTTTTCATCCAGCAGTTTCCATCCTCCCCCAACACACATGGGGTTTGAGCAAAGGCTAAACAGTTTTCTTTCACTRTGGCTGGAAAGTTTCAGTTTTGTTCACAGTTTCTAACTCTGCAGTTCTTTCTCCCCTCCACAATCCCAGTGCATGACTGCACACAGTTATTTCTTAACTGTGCCTTGGTTTCATGTGCCTCGGTTTCATGAGTCGGATGCTCAGCAGCTCGGAGATCTAAAGCCATTTGGTACCAGCCTGATAATATATATTTTTTTGACACAAATCCCTCAGTGTGACACTTGGTGACAACTCAACTCTAKGGCAAAGCAGGCAGCAAGCCTGCGAGCTCATGTTGGCACCGTGATCCAGGCTGCAGGATGAAGCTCTGCTTTCCATCCTGACAAAGCCAGGACTACAACTGGCACCAGCTTTCTGTGCGGTAATATTTGGTACCCGGATGAAGGTGCTTGGAAAGGGAGAGGACCATAATCTTCCTTTGAATCTGCTGCAGGCATCACCTTTCAGGCAGTACTGGGATGAACTGGAAGGTTTTAAGGGTCGTTAGCCCCAAAGTCAAGGAAAAAGGCAGATAGCAACAAGGTTTGCTGTTGAATTTTAGCAACTGCTTCCTCCCTTCCCAGCCGTCTCTCTGCTGCCCCAACACAGTCCTGTGGCCTTGACGGTTTGATGACAGCCCAAATAAAGGTTTGGGGAATATCTTGTTTCTTTCAAAGAGCCGAACAGGGAGTGTTGCTCCCAGTAGCAACAGTGAAGCAGCACCAAAATCCACCGACTCTTCCGTGCTCCTGCTGCTGCTAAGTGCCTCTTGATAGAAAATAGGGTGAAATAAGTGCCAGTAATAGCAGCCTTGGAAATGCACCTCRCGGGCCACAGCTTATTTGCAAAAATATAGCTTTGTTTTAATTAATTTCCTGCTTTTTTTTGTCCTTAATAGTTCCTTTCCAGCCCTTGTTGGCCAAGGTGCCTGCTCTCTGGCTTCTGTTCAGCCCTGTGTGCAATCCTGGTGGCTCTGGGCGAGCTGCCGTTTTTCCCTGTTGCTAGCAAGATGGGGAGGGAAAGAAAATCACAGCCTGCTCACTAGCTCTGTGCAAAAGAGTTTTCCAGTGCAATTGTGTCCTGAGGAAAAATTAAAAAATAAGAAGAGGGTGGAAATGAGTCCGGGGCTGCAGGCATTGCCAGTTGGATGCATCAGAGTCCAGTGTGCTCTGCTTGTTGATGGAACATGGGTTCARTCTGCTGGCCGAGATGTGGGCCACAGCCCCGCTCTTTGCTCCCCAGCCTTCAYGATTCCCTTCGGTGCTTCTTCTGTTCATGGTATTCTGTTATTTTCTGCTGGAAATAGGCTGCAAGAGAAGGGCATTGGGTGAACGTGAGTGTCTGGCTYGTTCATTCCTGGTCAGCATTTGCACTCAGCGAGATCCACCCGGGAAGAAGAAAGGACCCATGGAGCCTGTATGGGCCCGCACCACAACCAGGAGCAGAGATGCTGCAGCGCCTGCTGGCCTGAGCATCCAGGACCAAGGAGCTGCCATTTCAAGGTGGGAAAGAGACACAGAGCCACTTACCCTCCTGAGGGATCCTGCTCTTCTCCGCCTCCTCAATAAATAGGGAGAACATGTTGGTCTTGACAAACTTCTTCACAAACCTGCGGCTGGTCTTGGAGGCGAGGGCTTTGCAGAAGGCGCGCTCCTGGAAGGCGCCCCGGCCGCTCCTGCCCCACTTGATGTGCGCGGCGTAGTGACCGACCGTGCGGACGAAGAACTGCACGAAGGCCTCAGAGACAAGCGCGTTCACCTGCTCGGATGCTGGAAGAGGACGTTTTGTTACAAATCAGGACCAAACACAGGCGTTTTTTAGGAAAGCCGCTATGCTGAGCGGCCACTGTGCTTACTCTGCACGTTGTTGTTGCTGTGGTGCCGGCTGAGGGACATCAGCACCTCGTTCTGCAGCTTGATGGGCAAGATCTCCTCCTCGTCACCCACCTGCAAGGCAAAATGGGTGCTGAAGCCCTGCRGGAACTCAGCAGAGAAATTCCTTGGTGGGAACTTCCCTCTGGATGGGTGACACCAAGATGGCTCTGATGCCACAGTGTGAAAGCCACCCGGCAACGGAGAAGGATATAGGCAAGGGACTCTTTCTAAGGACACCTAGACTAGGCAAAGCCATGTGGGGACCTACCGCCTGGAGGATCTTCCCTTTGCACAGGTCAACCAGCAGAGCCTGAAAGAAACCAGTCAGTGTTAGCCCTGCTGAGGCTGAAGGCTTGGAGACATGCCAGCAGCCCCAACCTCCCTCTCCAGGGTCCAGCCAGAGCTTTCAACCCTGGAGCCAGCAGGAATCCATGGCGGTGGATTCGCCAGTGACTCCTTGCCCACCACCTCCACCCCGGCACGATACCTCTTCCATCGGCTGATCCAGGACGCGCTCCAGGTGACGCATCTGGATGCCCACCATGAAGGGCGTGGGGCAGCAGACGGTGTCGAGCAGGCACTCGGGCACCACGGGGATGTAGGTGTGAGCCCAGGTGAAGGGGTAGAGGAGCGCGGCCACGGCGTGGATGCACTGTGACAGGACGCTGCAGGACAGGGCGGCATCACRGCGAAGCCCTTCGTCGAGGGGGCTTCTTTTCCCGTATTTTTTTTGGTCCTTCTCCTCTAAACCGTGTCGCGACTCACCTGAGCTCCTCTGCTAGGAAAATGAGCCGCCGCTCCAGGACGGCGGAGGCGAAGATGTGCAGGATGAGCTGCGGGCTGAGCCGCTGCAGCAGCGCCTGGAACTCCACGTGCTCCAGGTGGGCGTCCACGGGCCGCGTGAGCTCGATGAGCTGCGGGGGCAGAGTGGGGAGCCACTCTGTGATATTGCCAGGACCAGCCACCCAGCGCTGCCCAAAATCCACCCCGAGAGCTTGCAGCATCCCTCGCGACTCCCTGCTGCAAGGSATGGACCTGGTCTGCTCCTGCCTGGGCATTCCACTGGAAAAAGGGATGTGCAAAGCAGAGGATACGGGAAAGCAAGCAGGGATCTGTGCTGTGGGGTTGGTTGAGTGCATTTTTAAGCTCTTTTCTCCAATTGCTGGTGAGTTGCTGCTAAGAGAGCAGCAGGTATGTGCCAGCTTTGGAGCAGCACCCGAGAGCAACAGCAGAAGAAGGGCCGCAGGAAAGAGCAGGAGGGTGAGGGCAAGACTTGGGCTAGGAAATTTCTTCCAGTTCTCCCCGCTGCTGCTCCAAGACRGTGGCCAGCAAAGGGTTAAGAGTCCTGGCCCGTTTCCTGGGACTTCTCCGGGTGGGAATTTCCCCTCCTCCAGGCGCTGCCCTTGCAGCCAAGCAGCATCATCCCAGCTGCGGTGTGGAGCACGGCTGGCCCCGCTCCCGCAGGATGCCTTGCTCCCAGCACTCGTGCTCCCCAGCGCTTGCCTTCCCCTCGGCTTCCCGTTCGCCCCGGTGTCCCGCAGCTGCCCCGTGCTCCCGCCTGGCACCCTGGCGCGCAGCTCTTTCGAAGAACGGCCCCTGCCACCGCCCTCCATTGGGGGCATTGGGCAATGGGCAGAGCGCCTTGCGCAAGCGGAGAAACCGCTTGCAGTTTGGGTGCCAGCTGGCGAGAGCCACCTCCGAAGGAGGGTCTGTGCTCCTGGCCGTGAGCTTCAGCTGCGCCCATGGGAGCCCGCTGCCAGAGCAGGGCCCCCCTCTGCTGCCTCGCACCCTGCCCAGGGCAAGGAAAAGCCAAGGGAAACATGTGCAGCCTGGCGTGGCACCTGGCTGGGAGGGCAGCGCGTGGGCGCGCGGAGCCCCGCGGGCACCGTGCCCTGCTCACAGCTGGCAGCAGGCGCCGGGGATGCGGCGGGCGCCCCGGCCGCGCTCAGCACCYGGCTGCGAACGGGAAGCTGAGCGGGGGCAAGAGCGGCGCCGGAGCCGGCAGCAGCGGGTGAAGACAGGGCTGCCCGTGGCAGAGCTTTCTCCAGCATGGAGAAGGGTCTCGGGACCCTCTGGAGCACAGCCCAAGGGCTTGAGGCCGCCGCAGTGGCCACTCTGGGGCAGCATCGCGTGTCCCTCTCTGCTCTGGGAGCGCTGCTGGGTCCCCTCCTCATTCTCACTGCTTGCCATCCCCTTCCCGTGCCAGGCGGGAGGTGGTATCTGTGTCCTCTGGGCCAAAAAGCTCCCAGCTGCCCAACCCACCACCTAAAGCTCCGTAAACACCCAAGGATGAAGGCCAGGGTTGAAAGCGCTCCCTAAACACCAAGGGTGCTGCAGGCACCCAGGATGCTTCTGGAGACGGCCCTGGAGCAGCCCAGGAGCCCCCAGCTCCCACCAACCTCCGTGCCCGACTCGGGAATGAAGCTTTTAATGGTGACGGTTTTCCCCGGGGCCGGGAAGGGCGATTCCCGGAGGCCCTGCATGAAGGGGTAGATGACGGCCATGGAGATCTGCCGCCTCTTCTCCACCTCATCCAAAATCTGCGGGAGGCAACAAAGGGCTGTCAGGTCCCAGCAGGCACCAGACACGGTGGCCCTTGCGGCCCCCTGGGCCACCRCTGCGATGGATGATGGAGCCACCACGTCCCTACCTTGGAGAAGAGCCCAAAGCAGCCCAGGCAGCTGATGATGCAGAAGACCTCAGGGAGGCGGGTGCCACGACCGGCTGGCTGCGGGAGGGAAGAAGGGAGAAGGGGTTGCAGCCTCTCCGGTCCCAGCTGTGGAGGCGGCCCCAGGTGCCCCAGCTCTTCCTTCCGCTCATGGATCCCATCTGCAGTCTCAGCAAATTGGTTTGAAAGCAGCTAGGGAGCAGAGCAAAACCCACCTCACAGGGACACTGACATTGCAAGGAGGGAAAAAAAAAGGACACYCATCACATGCCAGGGAATTTTCAGAGCTGGGACTCAGGCCAAGGATGCCGTCAGTACCGTGAACTCATTGGGTGTCCAGGTCCCAGATAAAACAATTTAGATGCCCGAGTTATTAGTCATTTTGATGCACTGCCCATTGGCAGATCCCCRTCTTTTCTCCCCCAGACACACGTCCTCCGGGACCTCCTGCCCCGCTCGCCGCCGTCCCCTGGGCTGGTCCTGAAATGGGGACCAGCGGGATGAGCTCCTAGGAGGCTGGTTTCCTTTACAACTGGATTCTCCTGGCCTCCTCCCTCTCGTTTTCCTCCTGCACCTCCKTACACCACCTTGGCCCYGTGTTGYTAATTTGGGGTCACTCCTGGGCTACACAAATCCTGCAAACGTCGCTTCCCTCCACCCAGCACCAGGCCATGTGTTGGGCTTGGCAGAAGGGACCATGTCCCCCACCCGGGGACGGGGACGCCAAGGGCAGGACCCTCACCAGCAGCCGCCTGCAGTAGCCGATCTTCCGGCTGCCGTCCACGTTGGTCAGGACRAAAGAGAAGGTTTCACTGCAAGGGGACAAGGGGTCTGGTTTGGGGGCGCTGCTGGGGGAAGGGGAGCCCAAGGGGCAGCCCCGTCCCTCCTGGAAAGTGACAGTCGAGTTGAGGTGCCCGCAGCAGGGCTGGTACCTGGGGAACTCYGCCACGGGCGCCCAGTTGTTGCCGTCGGGGAAGCAGAAGAGGGGAATGGCCTTCAGGAGACGTTCCTCCTCCTCCTTCTGGCCCTTGAGCAAGTTCTCGCGCTGGAAGGGAGCGAGGCCCCAGGTCAGGGTGGCAGAAGGTCCCCTGCACCCTGAGGCCCAAAGCCACCCCGGCTCAAACAGAAGCAGCAAGTGGGTGCACAACCCCGGGCAAAMACCCTGAAAGTCCAAATTCCTGGTGGCTTCATCCCATGGATAACATGGCCAAGCAGAACTCCTGCAATGGATCTCTCTGGGAAATGGTGATCTCTCTTGGGGGCAACATGAGACCAGAGAAAACCAAGGGGAGAGATTTTTCTCTTGGGATTGGTGGCCTGAGCTGGAACAGCAGGGWGGAACCATCAGGGTGACCCCAGCCCAAGGCTGAGTTTGGATGTCCAGCTCCAGGCCATACGGGTAGTTTTCTGTTCCCCATCTCCCTGGCCCTAGGAATGGAGAAGAAGCAACCTCCCTGTTTCCTCTTAACCTCAGAGGACCCATGTGCCAATCTCCAGCTAGTCAAAAACTGTCTTGTGGCTCCTGTAAACGTCCCCGTGGCTTGTGGACAACTCTGTACACCTCCCGCACCAAGGTACCTTGGGGAACTGGTAGGAGATCTTGGGTTCATAGTGGCCCTCCAGCGTCTTCTTTAGTGACACCACCACAAGGTACTCGAAGAAGAACTGGCCGGCTGAGTAGAGGACAGAGCTGCGGTCCCCGGCCTTCCCCGAGCTCCCCGGCGAGGCTTTGGTTTCAGCAGCCAGGGGCTCCTCTTTTCCCTCTGTAGCCAAAAGAAAAGAGCCCCATTGCCTGGGTGGCATGGGCCGCCTATCTTCACCCCAACCGAGCGAAGGTGCATGGGATCCCCAAGAGCTGCCTCTCCCCAGAGGTGTGGGAATGGCTTCTGAGTTGCTAAATGTGTTTCCTCGGGTTAAAATACCAGGGATCAAAGAGCCCAGCCTTGCTCCAACGCCCCCAGAGGCTCCAGTGAAAGGAATCCAACCTCTGCCAGATGCCCTCAGCCCTGGGAACCACTGCTTGCAAATCGGGCTTGGGAGCCTTCCCAAAGCTGCAGCTCCCAAAGCAATGCTGTTCCCAAGACCACATCGTATTTCTTGTTCTGCCAGCTGGGGAGAGCAGCTGGGACGTCTCGGCTGCCACAACCCGAAAAACACGGAAGCTGAATGCAAACAGGGCATCCCTGAGGACCCCGTGGAGACGGCAGTGTGGGGGGACATGACCCCGAGCTGGGTCTTGTTGCAGCCCTTCCCTCTCCCAGCAGCCGCCTGCGACTTTCTCCATCCACAGATCCCAGTCCCAAGCAGGTGCCAGGCTTGGGCTGTGGTTGTGCTGGGAGCTGCAGCAGGAAGGCTGGAGCTCTAGGAATGGTGACATCCTCTGGCTACCAGAGTGATGCAGCCCGTGTTGCATCCTGTCAGGGGCTGCCTTCCGAGGAACAGAGCGGCATTTCCCAGGGCTTTCCCAAAGCAGGGGCCGTGCGTGGAGCCGCCCGCTGCAGTGCCTCCCCCTGAGGCCGCTCCAGCTCCGCAGGCAAAGCCGATCCTCTCAGCAAGGCCAGACTCCTGCCGGAGAGCCGCCTCTGCTCCCCTCCTCCACACATCAGCTGGGCACGTCCTGGCTCCCRCATCCCTGGCATGACGGGGATGGATGGGGCCACGCAACGTCCTGCCGCGCTGCACTGGGCTAAGGTGGCACCAGCGGCCGCAGGTTTCCCTGTCCCGTTGCGCTGTGAGGCTCTGGCCACTGCGGATTTCCACCTCTCCCTCCTGCCTCCGGTGGCTGGCAAGGGTAAAGGTGCCTCGGTGCCCGCTTGCGTCATCAGCTTCCCAGCAAGGACCCATTTCACGGCATGGGGCAGAACCCCTGCCCAGGGACTCCGTGTGGCATCCCCGTCCCCAGTCCCACACAACTGTTGGCAGTGGGCAGGAAACATCGTGAAAAACTGGCCAGCTGTGAGTTGTTTGGGTTAGAAAGTCCCCAAATGCCCTTTCGCAGAAATGACCCATTTCTGCCCTTGTCCTTGCCTCGACAATGCTCCCTRGGGACAAGGTGCCCCCTGGGTGCCCGCTCAGTCAGGCTGGATGTGGCACATCCCGCTGGGCACGTGGTGGCCCACGGGCCGTGCCCTGCTCTGGCTGCCCTGCGGCCCTTTAGGGACCTGCCGAGAGGAGCCTGTGGGCGCTGCTGCCCTGGGCACGGGGCAAATCCCCCCAGGGGCTGGGATACATTCCCAGGGGATGGGGAGCACCCCTAGGAGATGGGAACCCCCAGCATGGGGTGCACTCGTTTGGGACAGGGGAGGCTCCTGGGGAGTGGGTGCACCCGCAGGGCACGAGGTGCTGCAGGGGGCCCCACGCGGGCGCAGGGCTGCGGGCGAGGGACCCCCCTCCGCACACAGCCCGGTGCCGGTGCCGCCGGTGCCGCTGCCCGGCGTGGCCCCGCTCCGCCTGCGGGAGCCCGACGGCAGCGGCGCCTACAGCGGTGAACGGCACCGGTACCGGCGGCCCCGCCGCGCCCCGCACTCACCTCTGCGAGCGGAGCGCCGCAGGCTCCGTCGGAAGAAGTCGCCGATGGAGGCGGCCATGGCGGCCCCGTGCGG